AAAAAATCCGGTGTTTCACAGTGGTGGTTCCAGCCTCTAGCGAGGATAGCTTTGGGTTGGAGGAACACTTGCGGAAGGCGACAACTGCGAGGTCTGATGAGCAAGCAGCGCAGGAGACCTTGAGAGATGATTCGGCTGAGCCGCAGCCGCATAGACCAGAGGACCCTGTGCTCTTGGCATCGCCCGAGACCACTGGGCAAGCGGGGCAGTTGCCCAGACGCCCGCATGTGCTGTGCGATTTTGGTCCTGCTCCTAAGACTGGCCGGCAACCTATGGCCGCAACAGCCGTACTACTGGAGCAGAACCTGCAGTTGCGCCCTGCACCCGCTCCGAGAAGGAGCTCTAGGATTGAGGGCCTACCGCCTCAGAACTTTAAGGAGCCAGATGGTCGGAAAACCCCAGGCGTTGGCGGGGCAGATCACGTCCCTCCTGCAGGTCCACCCGCTCCGCGTGGACAACAGACTAACGCCGTTAGACTGGTCGAGTCCTTGGAAAGGCTAGGAGACGCCTCTGCCGGAATAACAGCTAGGCGAGAGATTGCCAAAGCGCACTAAGTAAACGGCAGCAACTCTCGGTCGAGGAGTGTATATTACTGGAGATGAGCCACGACCTCGTGGCTGGGCATGCCAATGATGCCAACTTTGTCCAGTACTTCCAGGTTGAGGGGCTGGAGGACCGCGCGATAGTGTTGGTCATGTCAGCCAGGTTGCCAGTGGAGCTGAACATAATCCATGTCGGCAATGTGACTGACGAGTCGCAGGTGCACTATCTGCTCCTGGACCAAGGCCACTGCAGGCCGATGTACCCCGACAGTCCGCGGCACGCGACCTTGGCCGGGGTTCACGAGTGGCTCGATAGCCAGAATTGCGAGGCAGTCAAACTGTATTCGACACCATGGGAGGACGTGCTGGATGAAGAGAATGGCAGTGAAAGGTTTCTGGACAAGAAAGAATTGTCGCTATGCGACCAATGTAAGGGTTGCAACCAGCAGGCTGCGAGAGTGCGCCTTCCCCATGCCTGGCGAACAGGGAAATGTGGGATATGCAGTCCAGCGTCTCTCACTGACAGTTTTGAGTATGAGTGCAAACCTTGTCCCGAGGCTGCGTCTCTCACTGACAGTTTTGAGTATGAGTGCAAACCTTGTCCCAAGGCTGCTGGTGCCACCTGGCGGCCGCGTCCGATGGGCACGGCCGTGCCAGATGTCATCGAGGAGTGGTTGGCGAAGCCTGGTAGCGCATTGGAGTCGCAAGCGAGCAAACTCGATGTTTTTGATAAGTCCCGCCCGCCCGACCCTGATGGCTGGACCGACGACGCAATTAGCGTCGACGTGTTGGCTACTGCCCCATATGCTCCTGGGGCAGAGATTATACTCCTCAAAATTTCTGAGGCAGTGGGTCAAACGTGTCCGGCAGGTATCAAAACAGGCGAGGCAACGGCCGAGGCCATGGCTGCAATGCTGAACTCCCTAGAAGTGGCCGCCCGTTTAGGTACGGAGCTGGCCGTCCTCTGCGGTTCCTGGAAAAGCACCATCCAGAACTATAGAAAGTTCCACTTGCAACGGAACCCAGACAACAGAGCTGAAAGCATGGATGAGTTGAGAGAGAGGCTGGGAATAGGCGGCCCCCTCTTTGATTATGTCCATCAGCAGCTAAAGCTAGGCATACCAGACAGGTCTGATGTCATGTTGCCAAGGAATGCACCCCTGGCAAAAGCCCATAATAGCGTAAAAGAGCATGCCACCAAAATTTTGGGAACTATCTTAGGTGAGGTCCAGCAAGGCTGGGTCTTTTTGTGCACTGAGGAGGCCCAGGACATCTTGGGGACGTACACGAGTCCCCTAGCTGCGGTCCCAAAGCACAACCTTGACGGTACAGTATCGAAGAAGGTTCGCATCATTCATGACCTGAGCTCGGGGAAGAAGTTCGTACGCTGGGCACAGACCGCGGACCATTCCCTCCGCGTCCGCAAGCTGTTCACTTCAAAGGAGGCACAGCCATCCTATAACAGCACCATCCCTGAGGGCAGCCACCCCCCAGCTTGGCTCCCACGGATTTTAGATGTCATTCTCCAGTGCATCCGTCTCCAGTTGAGTGCCCCTGGCATTCCCATTCGGTTGCTCAAGGTGGACATCTCTGCCGCTTTTCGCCGCCTCTGGTTGGATGTGGAGTCGAGTCGGGGAGTGAGCACCTTCTTACCTTCAGGGGACACTGGCATGTCAACCGGATTATTGGTTTGCTACCTAGCCCTCACCTTTGGATCAGTTTACTCACCCTCAGAGTATGGCATGGCGGCCTTCGCTATCGCCACCATGTTTACACACACCAGGCCCCCTGAGCCACACATTAACGGAGAAGGCTTTCATGAAGCGGTAGTCTATGTGGACGATGCAGCTATTGGTGAATTGGTGCTGGGTCAGCGCCCCCTTTACGCTCGGGATAGCTACTGCATGGTAGCCCGAAGCGTGCTTGGGGACGACGCAGTCGAGGTCGACAAGCTTGACGAGGAAGGCACTCCAACGGCTGGGCCTCTCACTACTTTCGGTTACGATTTAGATGTTTCGGATTTACATCTTTCAGCTGAGACTGGAGGCACAGTCAGCTTTAATGAACCAAAGCTCCACAAAATCCGCAGGATGCTCATGGAGCCAGAACTGAATCCTGGTTCTCGGAGGATACCTTACGACTTGGTTGACAAGGTGACAGGATTCATGGAGTTTTTAGCACCAGTTCAGCCTGCCATAAAACCAGAGCTTACTGTACTCTATAGGATCCGTCACCAGCACTCAGGAGGGGTCCACATTGCTCTTCAACCGACAAGCACAGATGCTGGAGTGTCCTGGAAGGAGTTTGAGAACTCCATAGAATTTCTTCGATTGTTGGTCAGTGATGTGGATGCTTGGAAATACTACTTCCGGTCATCCTTTATGCACATGCTGCCCCCGGAAGTGAGGCTTAGGATCCCCGGACAGCGAGAAGCTGCCCGAACTGTAACAACAGATGCCGTCCTGGATGTGCTGGGTGCAGTCGACTGGACAGCCAAGCGATGCTGGGGTGGCGCCATAGTGGACCTACAGGGTGCTCTACGAGCCGTGGAACCGCTTCTGCTGGATGAGGACTGGATCCCCATTTCAGAGCTGATCGCCTTCATTGCCTTGGCTTTCCAACAAGGGGCCCACTGGACAAACCAGGTGGTCATTTTGGGGATCGATAACACCTTGGCTCTGAATTGGATAACAAGGCGGAGACCCCGCCACCCCCTGGCACGGGCACTCATCCGGCTGCTAACGCGCCTGGAGGCCCTTCACCACTTTAAGGTATATGCCTTCTACCTCAACACCCATAGAAACAAGTTCAGCGACACCATATCCAGGCTGTTGCAAGTGGCAACAACGTTTGTCCCAACTGTAGGAGCAAGCTCTGTGTCTGCATCCTCTGTGGATGATCTCCGGGAGTACCTCACCCAGAACCACCCTGAATTCGAGTTTGCTCTCTTTGACCCATCCTTGTCCTTCTTCGGTGACTGTGACCAGATCCTTAGGTCATACCGGCTGCCCCATGAGACAGAGTCGGCAGTTGCAGTTTCCCTGTCCAAGTTGAGGCCTGCTCCTTCCGAGCCCTGGCCTAAGCACCGACCGCCCCCGCTGGTGGGGGAGGTCTGGGCTGGGAAATTCGGGTTCTCTTCTCGCTTGAGGAAACAGGGGGCCGCAGTCCAGCTGCTCATCGAACAAAACAAGTGGACCAAAGTGTTGGTAGATGACCATTTCCGCCTGGCTAAACCGCCAGTGGAGTTGTATCAATCCTTCTATGACCGTGAATGGCTGGGTTCGCTCATCACGGAGCTTCGGATCTTGGGGGGCGGACCTTCTTGCAAAGCCTTTTCCGGTGCGGGTAAACTGGGAGATACGAAAGGCCAAGTGGACGGAAATTGCATTTACGGCAGTACAATATGTTTCCGGTAACGAGTTAGTGAGTTTAGACCACCTATCATCATCCAGCTAAATAAAACTGCTGGTTGTGGTGGTCCTCTCCCAGCTCGCCGCTTCCCCGGGGTCCGGGGTGGCGCGGCTTATATTTTTTTGGCCCGCCCACCACCCTCCTTCGGCACAGATGAAGCACCCGCCCTGCCCTACCCTCCTCCGTCCCCGCTGAGGTGGCTGCGCCATCCAAGCGCGGTCCGTCGGCCTTCATCCTGGCATATTTAATTGAAACTGAGCTCAACCTCCCCTCGGGGAGGATCTTACTTGCTTCCTTTAGCTCAGGCTAGTGGGAGATACGAAAGGCCAAGTGGACGGAAACAACAAATCCGCCGGAGGCAAGCCCCCGGCAGGGCAAGCGCCGCAGGCGTCTTGTGTCATGTAAAGGCGGCTGTGCCGTGTAAGGATGAGTGGAGCAAAGCGGGGTGAAATTACACGGTGAGGGAATGGTGGGATATGAAACCGGTGTGCATCAGAGAATAGTGATTAGCCTAGCGAACCACGACCACGACGTCGCCTTCTTCTGAAGTTCCACAATGAGTCAAGTGCTGCGATGTCACTTGTGGCGCGGCGCGGCACTGCGACGCGATTCTTGGCGGCATGGAAGAGGTTCAAACCACGCCATGTCAACGAGGGAGTCGTTTACAGATAAACGATGATTACTCCAGGAACGGAACCCGGGCATGCGGCTTCTGGCCCTGCTGCTTGCCTCGAGCGCGCGCGCTCTAGCATCAGAGCCGCCGCATGGCGGGTGTCAGCTGGTGGTGATATTGGCGGGCATGCACGGGCTGGCAGCACATGGGAATAAAAGCTTGTGAAAGCTGCGTTGGCAAAATTGCACCTGGAGGTCGCGCACGTGTCTTATTGGGACTGCCCGAAGCACGTTAGCATGAATTCCAGAGACGCCGAGCTCTGGTACAAAAGCGAAGCGAATTCTCTGAGTCGCTTGACGCGAAACTCAACCGTGCTGTTCAAGACGCATGAATTCACCGAAGAGCCCATGAAGCTTTGCCAGCGCGCCATCGCTTTCGCCAGTCACCGATGTCTCGACGACGAATTGCGATCAGCGGCTGGGGCCGGGTGGATGCCCGCGCGAGCGGCCAATTTTGCGAATGCCGTTAGAACGTGGGCGACAGCGTACCGACGATGGAAACTCTGGGGCGCAATCGACATAAACTACGATGAGGCGCTGAAGAATCCCTCGGCTGCGTTCCGTATCATCATCGACCACGTCGCATTCGCGATGAACGTCAAGCCGTCGGAGATCGACAAGCTGGGGCCAATAAGGGCGCCCTCGATGGGCGAAGCAAACCCAGGAATTCCATCGTCTGCGCCGAAATCTACTGTTGGCGAGGAAGATTTCCAGCGGGAAGTCACAAAGGCGAAAGAGCAGCTTGCCTCCGAGCGTCTTTCCAGTCTCGGGCTCAGCTGGTGTGTGTAATTTGAGCCATGTTACTGGTCGGGCATTGCCAAGTGATTCGATCTGAGCAGGGTAAAACACGAATGATGTCGGAATCGAGCCGAAGTAGGCGGGGTTGATCGACTGGACGACGCAAACTTGAGCGTTACTACGCACGACAATAAAAGCAACATCAATACTTGCCCATGGGAGCGTGTCGCATCACTGGGAGAAAGACCAGGAGGGAAGCCGAGCCCCGACCCGCCAATCCCGCGCGACAATTTGGAGGCCCGATTTCAGCTCCAAAATAGCTGGGGCGTGGGCGGCTCGGAGGTCCCTCGTAAGGCGTGAGCGGCGGTATTGAGGTCGATATTGAAGTGCAAAGTCCGAGGTTGAAGCGGTGCTTAACATGTCCCGTCGGTCATCCTAACCCGGAAGAATGAGTTGAAGAGTGGTGTAGACGAGTGGTATAGACAAAATAACACAAAACTATGTAGCGAGATTTAAGAAGGTTCATAAGGAGTCCCAATCCGACCCGACTCCGTTGTAGTTGGTGCGTCATCTACCGCTTGTTCTACTCTGCCATCATGCCGCTAGCGACACGTTAATTAACCAGCGCAAGGTTGTTCCTTCACGAGCCCACAGCCAGCGATGTTGGCCGCGATCATCGAGCTCAGGAGGAGCATCACCATCTATCTCCCTTCGACTTTTTTTTTAGCATGGACGCGCCCACGAGGTCAAAGCAGCGGAGGAAGGCCTCTGGTGAGTCGCAGAGAGCGAAGCCCCTGTCCTCGCAGAGTTCCTTGATGTGGCTCCTGAACCAGGTCATCAGATCAACGAAGTCGACGCGCATCGTCAGATCTTTGCCGCAGCGCAAAAATGCGTGATCCGCGTGTGTTTCGAGGTCTGCGTCCTCAGGAAGGTTGCCACGTCGCGTCACGAGCACGGTACCGCTTAGCATGGTCAATAGCATGACGCAAACCTCGTCGTGGCTCAGGCTTCCCTGGTCGTTAAAGTCAAAGACGCGGAACGCGAATTCGACCTTGGCCTCGAACGTCCCGCGGCTGATTACCGCCAGGCCCCCGAGGACCTCCAGCATGTTCGCCTCGCTGCCGCTGTTGTATTCTGCGAATCGTGGCCACAGCACCAGGTCCAAGGTGTCGCACCCTTCGTCAAGCAGCACTGGCTGTACGATCTCACGGAGCTGCTCCTTTTCCACCCCGAAGTCGTAGTTTCCTGCCAGGTACCGAGTTCGGATCGCCTCAACGCGCTCTAGGTGCCACGTGGTCGGATCCGCATCGTCGACGACGTGCTTGCGCTGTGCGCCAGTCACATTGCCCATCGCTGCCCAACGTCTGGAGGCGTTCCAATCAAAGCACTATATGGATTCCGCCATCGGGAACGAAGGACTTGAACAGACGAAGCTATGGGCTCCATTTCCATTGCGTGTGCCACAAAGGCCAGCTGGCTGCCAGCAGCATTTTCGAAGCAGTGCCCTTTTGTGGCAAGCTGGATGAGCTGCTTAAGTCAGTGCTCAACAATTATTCGCACAGCACGCAGAAAAGAGATGAGCTGGAAGAGTTGTGCATTGCCAACGATGACCCAGCGGGAAAACTGTAGCGGGAATTGTTCCTTCAAGGTATACTTCTCTTATTAGCTTGAGGTTCACAGTGCAGTGGATACACGCCGGCTTTCTAGCCTATAGTGAAGGGCATAAATCCCTGATTATACCTCCCTATGGGTGATAGTCTCCGCCAGATTTAGTATAGTGGCTGTCAAATCCTAACGGCTTTTGAAATTTTACATTTCTACAAATTTTTAGAGAAGGGTGTGAACGGGGAAATTAAAATGAACCTAATGTGCTTCGCACACACGGATTGTTTATGAATGGTCGGCACTATGGTCGTATGACAACCCGCGCGGAGCATATTCATGAACGGGAGACATTATAACCGTAGCACAGTGGACAAAATGCCTTAACCTCCCATACCAGACATAGTCTATTTTGACGGAGAGTTCCAAAAAATGAAAATATAAGGGCGATTAATCTAAATCCCTAGCCTATAACGCCAGTGCTATGGTTCACCTGATCTGGTTGCCCACACGAAAGTTCAACATAATAAAAAGATACGAAAGGCGAAGTGGACGGAAACGCCACGGTCTCTTACCTTAATTACCTCAAGTTATCGGTCTCTTGCCTTCGGGGTCGCGCTGGCTGAAATGGCTTTGGCTAAGAATTCTAAGATTAACAGTGCCTAAAAACATGGCCCGTTACCTCATAACGGTGTTGTTCGTCTCTACGCGCGGCGAGTTTGTAGACAACTGGGGACAACCTTCAGCACCTGTCGGACTGTACGACGGTCCGAAGATAGACGCACTCTGGAATAGATGCGAATGGAAAGACTTTAAATTCGGAGAAATCTTTCGAGGCGCATTGCTAAACTATTACACCTCGACCTCCAATTGGGCCGCCTTTCGCGGTTACGACTTGGTGCCCGAGAATAGTCACCTCTATGAGTATTTCAACCTCTTTCACCGGCTAATTGAAACAGAAGAGACCGAGTTTATGGCAAGTTCATGCGAAATATTGCTTGATGATGGAAGCAAATGGAGGTTGCAACGCTTGGGTGAATTTAGAAGCACCGGGCCGGGGGCTACGATTGGTGGCAATTTTCATGGGACGATGTAATTTATGGTACCGAATTATTGCGAGATTATCCACAAGGTGTGGTATTCTGTACATGCTGATATTCCCCATTCAACTTTTTAGGTTACGACATCCTGAATCACTGCACTGGGGCGGTGGGTGAGAACGGGATCGTCCTTGGTTTCCCGCCTATTCATGTACACCACGTCCATGCCAGCCCGACAAATACAGGCATGCAGAGATCGCGTATACTCGACTGTGCAAAACTTGCTGCCGGTCTGCTGGCCAAAAACGAGAACTGTTGTTCCGATGTCATGCGTATTGTTTTCGAACAGCATGGTGACTTTATGTGCCGAACGGCTGAAGGTGGTACTCGCTGTTACCTTGAGGACATGCCTGAGGGTTATGCTAAGCGTGTCACGGAGTCTATGATAATTAATGGCGAGCTGAATGATGTTAGACCACCAAAGTCTGACTCGTTGATATGGCATTATCTTACATGAATACGATACTTACCGGCATCGTCACAATTTAAGCCACTTTCACATCATTATTTTTGGTCTGCCGGAAGATTTAACCCGAATGATCAGTCGACAATGGTTAACACATTCTTGGCTCCAACCGACGGAGATACGTTCGTTTGGTATACAGGCTGTATGTATTTCTCAGGTGATCTAGTGCGGATGAAAATGCATGTCCATAACACTATTTTCAAGGAATTCTTCTTCTTCGCTGCGACACCGGAGTAGTTGGCAATGAGTGGGCGTCGCTTTCAACCCGAAGCAAGGGCTTACGATCCGATTGATCCTTTATCTCGCGGCTTTTCTGATAATAATGCGGTGAAGCAGCACATATTGACGGCGTATGACAAACAGAGCATCGAAGCCGGCAAACAACCTCGGTTGGTTTGTCACGGGCGTACTGATTATGAAACAAACTTCTCCAAACTGGCATATCAGTTTGACAGGCGCGCGCCGACTTTCTGGAGCTTCAGTATGCATGATCCATTTGTTGTCATTGGCTTCAACGAGCACTGTGGACCAGCACCGGGGCCCCATGAACCAGGAGTGATCCCGGCGACATTGGTTTCTTACTTCGGATAGACACGACTCAAAAAGCCACTATTCATACGGAAGCTATTCGCATGATGTCGACTTCACCTATGACGATTCCGAAAATTCCGTTTTTATTTTTGGAAGTGCCTTTACCCTTATCGTCATCCTTTTATTCGGCGGAACTCCGACAAAGGACCTATGGCTGTCAGTCGCTTATTTTCTGTCGTTTGCGGCCTTTGCCATTGTCGTATCAGTGATCTATAGTTATGATGTTAATCGCAAAAACAAGAAGAAAATCTGAATCACGGCGCTCATCCCTTTCATTCTCATAAAGGCGTCAGCAGCAGCAGTTGTATTTTATTTCGCAATGTTGATATAATATGGCTTTTATATTACAGACTACAGATGTACATGGCTGCTCGACGACACCGGCACAATCGGCTGCCTATTTCCCGCTGAAAAAGGTGAACTCCGGGCACTGAGATCAGTCAGTTGATGTTGAACGGTAGCCGCGATACCCCCAAGATGTGAACCAGACCAAGTCACCCGGATAACATGTACCCGGCGACTTAATTATTCGAGTTGGCATGGACTATACCGCTTTTGCGGTTCGCCTGCACGGCGAGCGACGCGAGCATGCCGAGGAGGAATGACTTCTTCGCCGAGGAATGACCATTGACACGCAGATTTCCGGCACCACGACCATGCTCTGGAGGCACGGGAGCGGGTCCGAGAGCGACTTCCTCGAGCAGACGGGCGCCGGCCCTGCCTGGCGGCGCGCACGACCTGGAAGGGCGTCGCGGGCTCGCGCCGGGCGAACCGCTCGATTCCGGGGCGTTCTTCGGCTCCGCGCCGACGGCCCCGGATCGCCGTAGCGCCTACGAGCCGGGCCTTCCCCGAGCGGCGGACGGCCCTCTAAAAGCGCCGCTTTCTGAGCGCCCGGGCCTGCGAACAAATCCAAACGTAATATCGACAAATTTAACAGCAATGTCGACCTTGCTCATAATGGAGTCTTAGAATTTACGTTTACGTGTAGTTCCACTGATGAAGTTCGGGCATTGTTCGGTCTTTGTAGCGTGGTTCCAACATCTTTAAGCGACTGGAATGGAAGCACAGGGTAGAAATGGTGGTGCTCAACTTGTCGCATGGAAACGAGAAAAACAGAATGCTGGGTTTCGACAGTCCTATTACGATAATAACGTGAGTCCATCCAACTGGATATACAATCCGAATGGTTTGGCAACGCATTCCACAAACGTAAACATAACTATAGCAGATAAAGTCGCAACTTACCATACATCCATAACAAAACCGACATAAAAGTACCTACGAAAACGGATAGACTGCTGCAGAAATTCGCAGACATGCGCTTGCCGCTAAAGAATTACGCCGGGAATCGTGTCACGAGCGCATGCCTTGGGTTGGCTGTTCTTGAAGCCCATCGAAAGGTGTTTTAGCCCGAGGGGCGAGCAAAGTCCAAAGATGACGCTTAGGGCGAGTAGGCACATGCTCGGTGAGGACATGGTCCGGGTTAGTCAGCTTGACGAATTTCTTACTACTGCCTTTTTTAAACACGTTGAACTAGCATCTCAAGATACTTTTGAACATCACGGCTGGACCGTCAGTTCATAAAAAAACGCCAATGATTCATGTTTAGAGCGAACTTGGAAACTGCATATCCTCCAAAGTCTCAGTCGACCCGTCTAAATTATCCAAAATTACTAACTGGATTAACATTCGTAGACAGACAAATTGACTGAGGACTATCAGAAGACCTCAGCCTAGGTAGGGACGCGCGCGCGCTCCCCGAGAAGGCTGTGAGAGGGTGGGGCCTTCACGTTCCGGACGTAGCCGGTCCAGTAGACGCCGTCGCCGTTGTCGTCGCAGACCATGGCGACCTTGCGGCCCGGCCCGGGGCGGTGGTGGTACATGAGCGCGTGCGATTCGATGTTCTTGAGGTACCACAAGGCGTCGCGCTTCTTCGCGGAAATTTTTTTTAAAAAAGCTTAAGCTTAATGTAGAAAAACCTAATCCTAGTTTCGTAATAAAGTCATTGTTGTCGAGCTACGAATCATCGTAAATGAGCTAAGCTTCAACCCGTGGGGCAGCCATCGCTGGGCAGCGATGGAGCTCTTCACGCGCCTCCGGGACTCCCTCTCCTCGGCGATGTCGGGAGCGAGCTCGGGCACGTGCCGGCGGAGCCCAGCTCGTCCGCGAGGGCGAGGCCGGTCGCGAGCTCCACCGGGCTCCACTGCTCGTCCTCCGCCTCCGGGTTGTCCGGGAAGCAGATGATGTACGCGACGCTGCCGGCCTTGGCCTTCGGCTGCTTGAGGTTCCGGACGTAGCCGATCCAGTAGACGTCGTCGCCGTTGTCGATGCAGACCATGGCGACCTTGCGGCGGTGGTAGTACATGGGCTTGTGCGACTCGATGCTCTTGAGGTACCAGGCGGCGTCGCGCTTCTTCGCGCTGCCGCTGCCCTTGTCGGCCCAGTTCGTCTTGCTCCTCGGCCGGCCCGGGTTGAGCCGCGCGTGCGGCGCCGCGCCGTCCATCATGGCCTCGAGGTCGATCAACTTGAGCTCCGACGCGACGGCGACGACGCAGGCGCAGCGGTTCGCGCCGCGCATGAAGTCCACGCACGTGCACGTGAGCTTGTAGAGCTGGTCGGCGTCGTCGCACACGAGGCCGGACGTCTTGGCCGTCTGGAGCCACTTGTTGCACTTGTCGATGTTCTCCACGGGCGACGCCACCACGCGGTTCGCGGCCGTCTTCTCCATGAGCTTCTCGTACTCCGAGTAGCTGAGCTTGTCCTTCTTCGAGCCGAGGTCGCCGCCGAGGTACTTCTCGTACTCCCGGGCGCGCTTGTCGGTCATCTTCTTGAACTGCGTGTCCGACGTGTTGCCAGTGATGATGAAGATGCGCGACGGCGACTCGGAGCCCTCGACGACGGCCGTGGGCCGCTCGAGGTACGCGGGCTTGGCCCCGAGGAGCAGCCGCGCCTCCGCGACCACGGGCCCGGTGACGGGCGCGTTGCCCTCGTGCGTCACCGTGTCCACGGCGTAGAGCTCGCACGTGTCCGCGGCCTTGGTCAGGATGATCGGCAGCGTCTCGTTCAAGAAGACGGTCGGCGCCGCCTTGAGCTTGTCCTTGCCGATGCAGGACTTGTCCGCGGCGTGCGTCGCCTCGACGGCCTGCTGGCCGCTGAAGGCGACGCCGGCGGGCGCCGCCCCGACGTGCCAGGACGCCCACTCGCCTTCTAAGTACATCTTCGAGAAGCTGCCGAGGAAGTCCGACTCGCCGATCCCGCGCCAGAGGGCCGCGGCCGCCCCGCACGCGGCGGAGAAGGCCGTGTTCGACGGCGCCTCACGCATGGCGTACATCGTTGCCTACGACGGGGCGAGTTGGGCTGCCACAGGGTGTGCGGCGCGAGCTCCCAGGGGGGCGCGCACCTTGATCTTGCCGTCGTTCTCCTTCCGGTCGTGCAGGCACTTGGCGTACTCGCCCTGGGTGAACTTCCGGCTGACGTGCGCCCAGTCGTTGAGCAGCAGGACCATGCTCTCGGCGGCGAGGCAGAGCTCGAGCTCTCTGAGAAATGCAGAGCTCTCATTGGTCGGACGTATCTCACTGCACCTTCACCAGGGTAATTCATTGCAGACAGAGCATGGTGGCCCCACGATCTATGAAGCTGGGTTTGGCATGTTTTGCTTCACGGGGGAAGAAAACGAGAGCACTTCGCCGTAGGAACTCGGGGTCGGAGACCTCGAAACTCCAGTCCGTGTCGCGGGCGAACACGCAGAAGCCGAGATCACTCTTGCCCGCCCCCCTCGCGTCACGCGTCGCGCCCCCACAGGGCCGCTCAGCTTCTGCAGCCCCTCGGATGACATGGAGTGTTTTTTCGAGACCGCCGACCCCGGGTTTCTACTGCGAACTACCCTCACTTTCTCCCCCGAAGACCCGGAACATGCCGAACCCAGCATCAGCGATCGTTGACGGCCATGCTCGATAGCAGTAGCTCGCCTGCAGTGACTGCCAGTCGTTGATATCATTATAGTGAAGTTATTCTCATCGAGTCAGCGGTTGAATTCATCGATCTTGGTACAGGTAATCTTCGATTAGCCAGGAAAGTAGCGCCCAGAGGAGAGAGAGAGAATGAGCTGTTATTTATTATTGCAGCTCAGTCGATACTCGCTCCTTATGCTCTTATCTGGCCGGCGCTGCTGAAGCAGCCCGCCGGCGAAATTCTTTCTGAAAAGGGGGGCATAGGGTAGATCCGGGAGGCGGCGGCCATGGTCAGGACCAATCCGATCCCGGAGGGGTTGAGAGATCGCCCGTTCAGCGAGCAGGCGGAGGCCTTGCCAGCGCGGGAGGCGCTGCGGGCGGTGCTCTCGGCGGCCCCGGGCTTCAGGGATGAGACCCCCGACCCCGTGACCTTTGCGACGGGGCTGTTGCCCCTAGCTAACGCGATATTTAGAGGGGACATGCCCCTGGAGGTGAATCAGTTTTCGCAGGGGGAGCAGATGGAGTTCGTCGGCCAGGCGGTGCACCAGTTGGTGCGGGAAAACTATCTGCAGCGAACAGTTTTCCAGGATTTTGGGCAGACATTGCTTGAGGTTACAAAAGCTGTTGAGAGCCGGGCTGCGGCGGTGAAGATGGAGCTTTCGATATGTGACGAGGAGCGGGCACCTGACCCAGTCGTGGGTCAGTTTCGGGTGAACGACAAGGAGTTGAATGCTCCTGTTACTGTGGCAATGTTGGATGCGCGCGATGCGACCAACAAGCGAGACTTCGAGACGATGCTGGCGAGAATAATGAACG